GCGAAAATCGCACCGCATCTCATGATGTCACACATGACCACGCGAGAGGGAATTCGAGAAGTGTAGTGTTTTTCCCTGTCCCTCTTGCCTTCAAACTCTCCTGTTATGTATAAGTGTCCTTTTTTATTTTTATTTTCTCTGAAACTTTGTCACTGCTCACATGTTCAGCCAATGATATTCACAGAATCCTTCTCTAGGACTATATCTCTGTTGCCTCAAATCTCCTCTTAAACTGTGAGAAATTTTCCTCCTTTCATTATATAAGATGTCCGGTATTACATAACAGTTCAACATATTTTTCTTTGTTTGTAACAATTTTCTCTGTTTCTTAATAATTTGCTTAGCTTTTGGAAGCCACCTTTAGCTATCCCAATGCTTTATCGGATTTCGGCGTCACACTTTCCATCATCAGTGCAAACACTTCTTGATGTTGACATCGCTAATTCATAGCTCACATGTAAGGCTATTCATCTTGCTTACGACCATAAATGCTGTCATCTTTTCATTTTTTTTAATTATTTCACCCCAAGCTCGCCAATAAAGCCACTAAGACGCAAGGAGTTCACTGATTGTTAGAGTGTATGAGAAATAAAGAAAAATAACACTGTCTTTGGATCTAACCAACGCCTTTATCCACTGTGCCGTGTGTCCTTAACGACATCTGTGTATGAATTCCTGGGACTTAAAAACTTAACGTCTTCAGCAACCATTGTTACCGGTGCTCATATTGAAATTTTTGCAGTAATCATTGCATGATTTTTACCAGAGCTCATAGTGCAATTTTCGTTGTTATTATTGCTTTTCTCTGGCATTCTTTATTACTGGTTCCCACATTGTATTCATTTCTATGCTTGGTCGGCTCAGGAGATTTTTGTGACTTTGTATTTGTGCTGATTCCTTAAGTTTACGAATTTTCTAATGATGTTCTTTGTCTATTATTTCAATCTGATCCCACATAGGGCGGTGATCTCTCCATAAGGGGTCACCAACGCCTGATTTCGCCACTTCCTCTCGTATTACAGCTTTCTGGTGTTCTTGAAGCCTTACCTTAAGAGGAAGGCCTGTCTCTATGTATTTCTTTATATTTCTTTCCGCAGCTACACGTGATGGCGTACACACAGCCTTAAAAATAATATTAAGGAGTGAGAATAACACTAGAACAAGAATTAAGAAGACAGACGATAACGATTGACGTAGCATTTAAATTTTTGATGATCAGAGTTGACTGAGAAGCACGAAGCTGGAAGAGATTTCCACAAGAGTGAAGTGTAATAAAAGAAACCGTTAGCATAGAACTTACGGTTACATTTAGCCATATCAACTGTAAAATGGTGAGACCGTACCGTCAATCTAGTAATGTGCTTAAACTCGTAAATTCAAGGTACCATAGAGGAATGTTCGTGAGAACAGTTACCTTAAAAGTAGCTATTAAAAAGACACAGGGAAGCTAAATTGTGGCTGTTTATTTGTCCTGAACTGGCGATATGCCAGGTCGGGACAAATAACATTGAAAATTCTTCCCCTACGTATTATCAAGGATCTCTAAATATACTGCGGGAGCGCCTGACCAGAGGTAGCAGAAATATTCAATGCATGTACGAATTGTACATTTACAATTGTTCCTTAGTTATTCTTGATTTCATTTCCTACTTTGTTTAGCAGGTACCGATAATCTCAGCAAAAACTGTGGCCTGTTACGAATGTCCTAGGCATACTAGATCCTCGTTTTGCTGTCACATATTCACAAGATGCCCCAGGGAGGTTCGGACGCCAGTTGTGCAATCTTAACCCTAAAGAGGATTTTAGGCAAATTTGCGATCCCCATGTCCGGTTTTTCTATCGGCGATTTTGTCCAAAAACACCGCCCAGTAATTTCAGATTAACAGTCAACGGGTCTTGCACCAGCGGGAAATGTGGCGCCGTTTGTCGATCTATCTGAAACAAGTGATAGAGAAGTGTATATATATAAAGTTGCAAGCAGTGTCACGCGATGGACGATCGCTATCCAAGACCAACCCCTTAGATATCCTTCACTAATATTTTCCCCCCGATTTATCTTTACCAGAACCATCTTCTACAGAAGGCATTTCATCAAAAACAACCTAGATATACTCTTTAAGGATAGAATATTCCAGAATTTATACTGTGAAAAAAAAAACGCCTGCATATTGAGAGAAAATAACTGCAGTAAATATACACAAATAGAAATGGTTGTAAGAATAAGGTGTATCTTCTCATCGGACTATTATCAATCTATACATTGATGCGATTCCGAGAGAATTAGAAGTCCTATCAGGATTTAATATTGGCGACCGGAAGGCAGAGTGCTATATGTCAAAAGATGGTGGTACATTCTTGTGCATCCAAAGCGAACCGGCTTATATTGATTTATCGTTACGCATACTGGAAGATCGAGTAATAGATCGGAACAAATGGTGACATAGCCTCTTGAATCCACAACAAACTGGCCTATATAGGTTTCTAGATAAGTCAACAGGAATATAGACATATATCTCAACAGATGGTGGTATATTCTTGTGAATCCAAAACGAAACGGCTTATATAGCTTTATCGTCACGCATACAGGAAGATTGTGTAATAGATCGAAACAGATGGTGACATTGCCTCTCGAATTTAAAAGAAACTGGCCTATATATGTTTATAGATAAGTCGACAGGAATACAGACATATATCAGAAGAGATGGTGATATATACTTGTATATCTAAAACGAACCTATAATTTTTTTTTTCTGTATGTGGGGCTATAATCACCCATACAGGAAGACAGAGTGCTAGAAGAAAACCGATGTTGACATAGCCTCTTAAATTCCAGACGAACAGGCGTATGTATATTTATAGACAAGTAGCCAGAAAGACAGATCTATAGATCGAAAAAGATGTTCTCGCCACTCCAAGACGAACAGGTCTTAATAGGCTTATAACCAATAGGGAGCAAAACAGAGTGATAGATCGAACAGATGGTCACATAGCCTCTTAAATCGAACATGAACACGCCTATATAGGCAAACAGGAAGACAGATAGATTGAAACAGATGTTGACATAACCTGTTAAATCCAAAACGAACAGGCCTATATGGTTTTATGAATAAGCATATAGAAAAGACAGGGCCGATAGAGCGAAACAGATGGTGATATGGCCTCTTAAATTTACAACGATTAGATTTATAGACAAGTAAACAAAACTGTTGAAACTTGAATAAAGCATGGAATAATAATAATACAACACAAAATGTACTTAAACAAAATGTATTGACACAAGAACGTGTACACAATATTTACAGATAATTTGGTATATTCTTGGGAAGACCGTTCCTGTAGAATGGGTTGACATTAGTCGCAGTCGGGCAGAGTCTCTGGATTGGATCTCTTCTTACTTCCTCCCTCGTCTTCCCGGTACCAACCATATTTATATGGTCGGTACTCCACTATGTAAATTAGGTGGATCGTACCACAACAAAAACAGATCGATAGATCGAAACACAGGGCTAAATAGGTTTATAATCAAGCAGAGAGCAAGACAGAGTGATAGATCGAAACACATGGTGACATAGCCTCTTATATTCAAAACCAACATGACCATATAGAGTTATAAAAAAGACAGAGTGATAGATCGAAGAGATGCTGATAAATCATCGTAAGTTCAAAACGAACAGACCAACATAGATTTAAAACAAACCTGCATAGATCGATAGACCTAGAATTGAATAATCATTTTTGACAAGGACACTATATATAAAAATTTTAAATGGTGGTACACTACGGATCTGGTGCGTCTTCTTCGAAAAGAACTCATTTGCTGACAATTATCAAGGAGCATTGATATTCCCTATTGTGAGAATAGAGAGCTCGAATGAAGAACTAAGCCGTGTCCACGCGTTGTAGTCGACATTAACGTCGTCTCGCTCGGTGAATCAATCGTCAGGCGTCTTACTACTGGATGAAATCTAGATGCTTAGGTTGTAATGTAATGTCCTGTAATTGGCCAACTTTCTTTTTATGTGCCATGTTCTTTCAGGACGTAGGCGATCATGGCTCTCCACCTTTCCCTCTATCCCTTGCAGCTCCTCCCCTCTGCTTCCTCCCCCAAACCAAGTTCTGTCGAACACTTGCTTAAGTCCGCCAGGTATGTCACGCGTTGTTTCCCTTGTCTCTCTTCCCCTCTATTCGACCCGTGAGTATTGGATTCTCCAGACCCTCTCTTCTCATTACATGTCCTAGAATCCTCAGCTGCCTCTTGCTGATGTTAAGCATCCTCTCTAGGACTCCATCGTTGTTCACACGCTCGATCCATGATATCCTTAGTGGCCAACTATTTACTTGAATTATATTACTCAATAATCTAGATATATGTTTCGTTTGGTTTTTACACTCATTCGGTGATTGCTGGATATAAACTGCTTGGAATATCATTCTATATGCTGCTACCTTGAGAACAGTTTTAAATCTAGTCTCCTCGGTGAAAGTCGACAAAGAAACTAGTAAAAAATGGTAGAATTATTTTTTTTAATGAGCTATTAATTTCCTTTGGCTTGTCTTTTGTTTTCTGCGCATATCAACTCCTTATTGGGTATTTCATTTTCTAGAGAACATTTGGTAATTGCTTTTAGAAAATGTATTGCAGATATTTTTACTATAAAAATGTATTTCTGTACGTTCATAGTGTTTTGGCCCTCTATTTGCCCATCGCTGCGACCCTAACAGGTGTTACCACTCTGAGTTAATGTGAACCTAGGAACAACAGCAATTAAGAGATGGTTCCATGATTCTCAAAACCTCCCGATCAGAGAACTTGCTGCTGGATGTAGTTTATCGTCAAACCCAGGACACAATTTTTTGTGTGTGTGTTTTTGTGTCTTATAAAACTGAAGCAGAAAAATAACAAATGAACGATAGGATCGAAATTAAGAATGAAATGTGAAGAGAAATATATAAAGAAGAAAAAAAAATAGAAGGAAAACGAGAAGAAAGCACAAATAAATTCACTCGGTTATTCGAAGAAAGAAAGAAAGAAAGAAAGAAAGAAAGAAAGAAAGAAAGAAAGAAAGAAAGAAAGAGGAATGGAGAGAACAAAGAAGGTAAGGAATGAAGAAAGAAAGAAAGAAAGAAAGAAAGAAAGAAAGAAAGAAAGAAAGAAAGAAAGAAAGAAAGAAAGAAAGAAAGAAAGAAAGAAAACCCAACAGGAAAGAAAAATTGAAAAAAGATGTGAAAAAAAGAGTGGTGATAAAAAATGGAGACAAAAAAAAATCAGGGCCTGTCCACGGGTCTCGTAGACCCCACGACCTGAATTTCTGATACGACCATTATACTGCTTTGGACTGATTAACGACATATCAACTCCTTTGCGTCATTTAATGTCAAAATTTTATTTTCTTGTGACCTTTCGTAATGTTTTTTTCCAAAAATGTATTGCTGTTAAATTATTTTTATATACTATGAAAATGTATTTTTGGCAATTTTTTCAAACGTATTTGTATATTTTCATATTTTGACCCCCCCCTCCTCCAGTTTGGGGTTTCACTATTTCTTCATAGCTGGGACTCCAACATGTGCTCCGAATCTGGGTCAGGGTGGACCCGGGGAAAACAGTAATTAAGAGGTGATTCTACGCTCCTCAAAACCTCTTGATCAGAGGCTTTGCTGCCGGATGTAGTTTATCGTCATACCCAGACTCTATTACATCTCAATTTTCATAAGATAATATTCATATAAAATACAAATTTTATTGCAACCTAATTATGTACAATAATGGATCATATGCAATATAGATGAAGAATTCAACTAGAAAATTGAAAATAAATGCAATGTATCTAAATACAAATTAGAGACATCACATAATAGATCGCTCCATCTTAAATAAATCAACAATGTTTTGCAGCGGTTTTTTAACATCAATTTGAGGTTTTTGTTAAAAGTCAGAATAATTATGGATAAAAATAGTAAATTTTATATAGAATTTCAATATTATGGATATAAATAGTAAATTTTATATAGTATTTCAACATTATGGATAAAAATAGTAAATTTTATATAGTATTTAAACATTATGAATTAAAACAGGAAATTTTATATAGTATTTCAACATTATGCATAAAAATAGTAAATTTTATATAGTATTTCAACATTATGCATAAAAATAGTAAATTTTATACAGTATTTCAACATTATGGATAAAAAGAGTAAATTTTATATAGTATTTCAACATTATGGATAAAAATAGTAAATTTTATATCGTTTTTTTTTTTCCGAGACTTAGCATGTGCAAAACAAATTCACAGATTTAAATGAAAAAAGACCCCAGAATTACGTCAAAATCTGCGAAAATTTTAATCCTGTAATTTGTAACGTATATAAATGTAGGTAGAAAAAGCAAATGTTGATGAAATAGTGGGTGTTGCAAAGCACTGTCCTCTGCCCTCAATCAGGCTTAGCTTCCCCACTCGCCCAGGGGTTGTACTCACTTTCCCTGATAATAGTTGAAAGGAAAGGAAAGAAACAAATAAAGGGAGAAAAAAAAGTAGAAAGACGGTGTAGAAACTACAATGCAGGAAGAAGTAGCTCTATGGACTTTACATCACACAAGTCATTTGTGTTACAAGAATAAGTTTTGCGGAGAAAACCCGTAGACGAAAGGATGCGCATATGAATGATCTTCTGCTGTAGATAGCAAAACATGAAGACTACTGTATTGCAGGTTATTTAAAGCCAGAAAATACTTTTAAATTTGAAGATATTTTTTTTAGTTAATAATTCAGTGCCAAAAGTTTTACTAATTAATCCATAGCAAGGTGAAGTGGATTTATGCATTTCCAAAGGGTATCAGCACTTTAATGAATACAATGAACCAAACGAGAACTGAAACTTTGCTCTCCAAATTCCACTTTAATTATCCATTACAATGATATTTAGTCACCCCCCACGAGGGAATCATGTGACACAAGGCCGGTTTAACGTGGGATCTCCGAGCCCGTAGGCTCGGCCAAAAATATGCCCATTGAACCCGTATAAATGGGTTCAGGGTCGGTTTACCTCCCCGAAAGAGAATCCGCCCTTCGGCGTAGCCTCTTTCGGGTTCCTCCCCGCCCGAAGGCAGAGAGTTCAACCGATCAGCCAGTCGACTGACTGACCAACTCATCCATTACAACACCTGCACATCCAACCTTTCAGTAACCCGGTACTCCCAAACAGACACCTATCTCGATACTGACAATGCTTGACGTTGCTTAACTTCTGATCGTACGAGAACAGATATTTCAGCGTGATGTAGCGGTAAGCCGTGACCTTTTAAAACAATTTATTATCAATCCAACTGTCCTTCATATATTTAATCACTTTCCAAACAGTTAACAAGATTATTACTGCTATCTCGGCGTACGTTTCTACTAAGATTATTATTATTTCATTTCGATCAGGCGCATGGAATTCTTAGAGATTAGAAACGAAACCAGAAACTCCTTGTAGTTACTCGTCAGTGGTATTCAGAAAGTTACTTGAATAAACATGAGAATTTAAATTGGCACTTGCTAAATATTAAGGAGAAACACCTTGGTGAGTGTGCAAATAGCCACCAGCAATGCGAACGGCGGGTGGTGTGGGGGGAGAGGAAATATAGTGACTATTCCTAAAAAAATAAATAATAAAAAGGAAGTGATACTGAGAGGGGGGGGTTGAAACATCAGACAAGAAAGGGAAGTTAAGTAGCTTTAAACAAAAGACTGTTTTACTCTCTTCAGGGATGACTACCTAAACACGTGTACATACTAAATGTAATGGTCATAGTAAATATATATATATATATATATATATATATATATATATATATATATATGAGAGAGAGAGAGAGAGAGAGAGATACAGACAGGCAGACAGAACAACAGACAATGAGAGATAGATTGAGAGAAACAGAATTAGAGAGACAGATAGAAATAGAATGAGATAGATAGATAGATAGATAGATAGATAGATAGATAGATAGATGTGATTCTCTCGTAAACCAAGGTTATTTTTTTTTTGTCAGCGTTCTGCCAATCTGTCAAATGAAATTATAAATGAAAGTACATCAGTTGGACTCTGTATCAAAAGAAACGAATATTGTGAATTAATTCTCATTTCACATCCACTCGTTGCTTCTCTGCGAATATTCCGGATTTTCCTGCTTGTTAGCTTTATGTCGATCTTGACCCTTTTTCCACAGGGAAACATTTTGACTCGTTATTATGCCCAGTGAATAAAACAAGAAGCTTTCTTTACATTTTCCTTTCTGTTAACTCCCCACCGTAAGAACTAACAACGGTGTCCCGTTGACGATTTCGGGCTATCATTTAAAATCTTAAGGCGGGGAAACACTTTGCTGCTCTAAGTCAACAAACTATTCCGCAGCTCACACTAATTTCAGATAAACAATTCTTGACATTACTTGAGAAACACGTTGTTTACTTATCATGTTCGCAAGCATAGCAGATTAGTTGAACGCTCACAAGCGCTCAAACAGAACTCTCAGTTACGGGAGGCGGGTCTCCCTGCAGGGTGCTTATTTGAGAGCCAGTGTGGGAAGCAGGCGCTAACCATTCAGTCGGTGGCGTTGGTGATAGGAGATGGTGGTGCTGGGGGTGGAGGGTTTAAAGAAGAAACAGCCAGAGTCGGTGGAGATGGAGGAAGAGGCTGGATGGTAGGATAAAGCTGAGTAAACACTATACGCACTAAGACTAACTTATCTGAATCCGTAGGTAACGTAACAGGTTCTAAAACCTCTTCCAAGCTAAACAAAACCAAATACTTTCAAGCTCTAAAGCAAATCCACTCTACCACTAATAAAAATAAAAACTATGTAAATTTTTATATTAGTCAGATGTGGAAAACATGTTCTTAGCTAAAACATTCAAACGTTGAGATACCAGCTGGAGACGATTTGATTTGGGGTGATTTTTGTTTTGTTTTTTCTTCTTTTCCACTTGAGTTTTTATCCTGATATTTGATGTATAGCATTATTTTCACAGATCAGTCCTATAATTTTACCTTGTCTAATATTCCTATTTACTTTGCTGATCCCATTAGAGTTAGCGTTTCTGTACCGATTCTTTGAAAACTCAGTTGCATCACGAAAACGCCGTTTTGTCAGATTTACTATAAATAAAGAAATGTTAACAATAAAAATCTACTTGTTGGAACTTCTGTGCCATGTTCTGAGCCGAATTGATTCCTAGGAGGAAAGCTCATGACTGGTAGCCTGGATATGCATGTCGGGCGTACAGCGAGTATCACAGACGCTACAGTAGGACCAGTCCAGGAGACTGGCTTCCTAACGAGGCGAGGAATCCATTTGTCACAATGCAAGGAGGTAGGGTACCCAATGAGGATAGAACTCACTACCGAAGGAACTGTCCACAAGACAAGCATGCTAACATTCCCTCCACAGCGAGGTAGCCATTTATTTTTCAAAGCAAGAGTGTAGGATCCCCATTGAGGATCGAACTCACTACCGTAGGAATAGTCGACAAGACAGGCATACTAACATTTTCTCCACAGTGAGTTAGCCACTTACGCCACAAAACAAGAATTTAGGGCACCCAATGAGGATCGAACTCACTACCTTATGAATGGTCGACAAGACAGGTATACTAACATTTTCTCCACAGTTAGGTAGAATCACATCACAGCTGGACAGAAAACTCCAGATCAAAATATTCAGAGCTGCTGTTGAGTCGATTCTACTCTATGGCTCAGGGACATGGACACTCTCTAAAGGCGTGGAGAAACGTCTGGATAGAACCTACACCCGTCTTCTGATGAGAGTTCAAGACCTCACTTGGAAATGCCATCCGATCATCCACCAAATCTATAGTAGTCTTCTCCGTGTTTCCACTCTCATAGCATTTCGTCGAGCACATTTTGCTGCCCATTGCCACTGTCTCGTCTCTCCTACTCTGGAAGCCTGCATCAAACCTGACCAGAGGTAGACAACTATCATTCCCTGACGTTACCTCAAGGGTTGCAGGCATTGGTAGGCAGGACTCGTGGACAGCAATAAAGGACCGTGAATTCTAACGTAGTGTTCTGGACTCCATGATCTCGACTGCGGTCAAAACATGATGACGATTACGCTGGCGGCGATATAACGCCAATCCCACATCTCTTGATGCAGTGAAGAAAGTGCTGCCGTCATTTTGGAATCCCTGGTGCCTGGCACCTTTTCCCATCTCAAATGAGGAGAGAACAGATACTACGCATTGATCCCGACTAAAAGTTCAAGAGGAGTGTGTAGCGTACACTGAAAATTGAACTCGTTACAATACAAATAATTTGTAACGAATAAATGGATTTATTATTAATCTAACAGTTTTATTACACCAAACATTACATTTAGTGGGTAATCATTTTAAAAATAGACACCCCTTTTTTATTTAAATTTAATGAGAGTGTTTACATCTATTGACCTGCTCACTCGACGACAAAACTTAATTTTCCAGAGGAATTCTTCCGCAGACGAAATCTTCTTCATTACATTTTCTTGAGTGTGCATGCCGTTGGCCGTAATACACACAGTTTAAAATAAAATAAACAGAGCGTCTACCTCAAACACGGGTATCAACTAAAAATAAATTTGCAGTAATAAACAAATCGAAATAGTCTAGCTTGGTGACAGTCTGTCAAGGGTGAGGCATCCGATCGTTGGCGTTCTATCCTATGCTGAAATTAAAGGCATACATTTTGCCGGTAAACACGTTTCATATCTAAACACAAACTTATTTCTAAGCGAGGCTGTATTAATCTAAAAGCGCCCTGTTTTTAACCCAGCGTAAGTCATACGAGGTGTTTTGTTATTCCTAACTTTTTAAAGTACATGCAAATCCTAGTTAGTGACTTGTTTCATTTGTTCCCTCCCACATCTCTACAAACTCAGCGATGGTGTGTAGCGGAAGGGGGCGCAGTTGTTACCGTAGTAGCCAAATGTCATTTCATATTCTCCGGAGTGTTCTGTCACCCCCACCTGACTAACGAAGATAAGTCTTCATGATATATATATATATATATATATATATATATATATATATATATATATATGCGTGTGTGCGTGTGTGTGTAAAAATCCGTAGGTAAATAATCCAAGTGAATACTAATAATATAAAATATTAAAACTAATCCACAAAGAGAGCTCAATGCATTTATTATAATGGAACATATATAAATAAATCTTACTTATTATAAAACGCAGATTGTGTGTGTGTGCGTGTGTCTGTAACGTTTATATGTTGGATCGAATTTCCTACATTTTTTAGCCGATTTCAATAAAACTTCACAGGACTACATAAAATTAACTTGTGGTGGCTCTAACGGGACCGAAAATGGGAAAAATACAGTTGTTTTTTAATAAAATCAATTCGAAAACACGATTAAGACACATCGTGAGAATGAAAGGGGGACAACTCACCTACGAAAATGTAAACAAAAGAGCATAGCATGATGAAAAAAAAAGCCGAACTTGACGAAAACAAAATTTTATCGTCTAATGTTCATATTATTATTAAAGAGGAAAGATCAAAGTACTTGGGGTATTTTTTTTTTTACATTTTTTTAATCGTTCCTAGCACGTCTGAAATTTTCGTTAAAAATATTGTTTTTTTGGTCAAAAAAGGGCAGATAATCAATCATTTTCAATCATTTTTTTTCGATTTGATAAAAAGATTAAAATCTTACTTTGATATTCTTTTAAAAATCAATTATCATTTTTTCAAAACTGATTTTAATAAAAAACATAAATTATACTGTTTATTTAAAATATTTTTTACCAAGCTTAACTTAGCTTCTGCGCCGAAAAATGTAATTTGAAAATAAAACAAAGCAGGTCATAACCTTTCGCGTCGCTTGACGATTGACGAAAGGCACATTCATGACGTTTAGATAACGTACGGGAGGAGAATTCTTTCTACGGATGGAAGGAAGTGAAATTATTTAAGTGAACAAATTATTTACCTTGTTACTTTTAAGGAAAACTTTCAGCGCTCTAATTTTATTTTTTTTATTTTTTTTTTTTTGTACTTAGCTTTCATTTTTACGTTTACGATGCTTTATGGAAAATATAAAGAAATTAAAAAATAAGACTGTTAATAGTGAGATTAAATTTCATAAGAAAAGGTATCTAATTAATTTAGGTACCTTTCTTATGAAATTTTATCAGAAGTGTACATAAAATACTATAATTTTATGTACATTTATTACATTTTACTGTGTTATTTGTATTTCCATTCATTTTATTATTAATTTTGATATTTCATTTATGGAAAAATGTCATAACTGAGATTAATATAAAAATAAGATCATATAAATTAAAGTTTAGCAGTAGTTAAATTTCATAAGATGATACTGTTACTTGTAGGTACCCTTCTCAGTTGAAATTGAAAACTCAAATTAACTTCTCCATACGTGTTTCGCAAAAGTAAAGGGCTTAACAGCGGAGAACAATGCTGAACTCAAATAATGCAACTAAATTGTATTCTGGTTGGTCTTCCGTACTTGATAATTACTGTCCGACTATAAACACAAAAAATACATTTCTTAATTACCATGGCTAATCTGATTGGTCCAAATTATACAATTTTCAAAGACAATCAATGACAATCTCACATTTTTTTGAAAGGTTGATGTTGCTTTTAACTCATGTTAAAATATTTTTTTTAAAATTCAATTTAAACATTTTTTAAAATCTTTTAAAATTAAAGAAATAAGAAATAATTGTATTAAAATTCAATTTTCATTGAAAAAACTTTTGCTTTCAGAAAATATTGTCCATATTCATAAAAACAAATTAAAATAAATAAAAGCATTTGAAACTAAATAATATATTTGTTTTATTGAGTTTTGTATGTTACAATTCACAGCTGATTTTCAGGTACGTTGGCCAAAAAAAAAAAAAAAAAAACATGATTTGCATTCTTCAAAGCCTTGTGCTTTTAACTATTGTAATCACTAAAACCGATGGTCTCGAATTTCTAGAGTTTTTCATAAAATTAGTTATTGGGTGTTAATAAATATAAAAAAAAATATTTCTGCCATGACTTTAATTAAAAAAAAATATTTATAATAATTTCGATCATCTGTGAATAGTTTCTGAAAGTTTCATTAACATCTGACAATTATTTTTATTTTTGCAAGATTTTCCAAATTAATGTGTAAATACAAAAAACGCGCTAAAATTATCTATGTTATTTACTACCCCTTGTTGCGACAAAGAGAAACAAGGTTTTTAAATCAAAATTTAGAATATTCTAAAAGATGGAAAAAATTTTTTAAAAATAATTAAAAAAAATTTAGTCTATCCTCTTCATAAAAACATAAGCATTTTGACGATAAAATTTTGTTTTCATAAACTTTGGCGTCTTTTTCATCAGACTATGCTCTATGTTTTAGCGATTCCGTGGAGTGACTTAGGTTAAAAAACCCAGTTTGTTTATGTGTGTGTGTGTGTGTGTGTGTGTGTGTGTGTGTGTGTGTGTGTGTGTGTGTGTGTGTGTTTCCTTTATATGGGATCGGATTTCTTACATTTTCAGCCGATAAAACAAACATCCACTTTTTTTTTTCGGTAGTATTTATTATTGTCTTGCACACTTTTTCTTTATTTACATTCAGAATGCTTTAAAAATTCCATTTACAAGACAATTGTTTATAATAAAATTCTATTCGCCAATCGATAGACTCATAACGATAGTAAACAATGTTTTTGTTTGAGTTTGGGTTTGACCAATTTGTAAAAAAAAAAAACTAATTAAGACATGCGTGTCCATCAATCTTAAACAATAATCTTTGTCAATTTTATTTTTCAGTCTTTATGATGGTCGATACTTGATCTATCTCTTACTGTTACATCCCCGGGCAACGCCGGGCTCTACTGCTAGTGAATTATATATAAGAGAAATACAAAAATAATCTATGTGTATATCTATTTCACCCCTCAAGAATTACCTAATCTTGCAAGGTAGTTCTTGTGTGGAGAAATAGTTATAAAAATGGAGTATTTTTGAATTTCTCTTATATATATATATATATATGGGGGTGTAAGAGAAATTCAAAAATACTCCGTTTGTATAGCTATTTATAACCGATTTATATGATGTTTTAAGCTTGTCTTTACTATTCTCTCTCTCTCTCTCTCTCTATATATATATATATATATATATATATATAGAGAGAGAGAGAGAGAGAGAGAATTAAAAAGCTTAAAACATCATATAAATCGGTTAAAGCTATTTATAACCGATTTATATGATGTTTTAAACTTGTCCTTACTATTCTATATATATATATATATATATATATATATATATATATAAATATGATGTTTTAAGCTTGTCTTACTATTATATATATATATATATATATATATATATATATAGAGAGAGAGAGAGAGAGAGAGAGAATAGTAAGGACAAGTTTAAACATCATATAAATCGGTTATAAATAGCTGGGAGGGGGGGAAGAGCAATATTCATACCTTTCCCAAGCGTATTAGCACGTAATATAATGTAATGGTTTAGAGTGAAATTCGAACTCGGCTCTCTGATTCCTCAGTTCGAGCCACTGTCTATTACAACACAATTACTTAATCTTTTCTTCACCATCATAGCGTCAGTTACTCATGACCAGTCTGTGGTATGCGGCCTTGGTAGAGCATTCAACCGAAAGTCGTCCTTACATTCTCCAACTGGGATGTTTGAACTACGATCCCAATACTTAACGGGGCGTTTTTTTATATGTATGGTTAAACATAAGGTCAGAAGTCAGACTAATCACGGTTTGCTGCCATCCAGCCATGCTCTTTGCGATTCATTTAGAAAGAATTACAATAACAAAAACTACATCACTTGAGGACTACCAACAGCAGCAACAACTAAAATGGATAGCACATGTAACTCGAAGATATAATAATGACATAATCAAAATATTGACATTCTACACTACTTCAAAAAAAAGGTTACGAAGGAACACCCTCATCAATATTGGAAAA